GCCCTGGCACCAGAGAGCCCCGCAGGGACCCGCACAGGGGGTGTACGTACGTGATCAGGATGGACTGGTTCTCCCGGTCTGTGAACAAGGCAGAAAAGAAGAGATTATTATTCTGTGTCATGAATATAATTGATAAAATTATTCCTGTGACTTTTAGAAGGCACACTTGCACTAGGCATCAGTTTTCATTAAGAAACCTTTCTACTTTCACCCCTACTTCCTTTTCAATATTTAATGTTTCTAGATTCAGATGAGAAGCTGATGTCTTGACCTTGAGGTTATGCCACATATAAGGCATATGGGCTTCTTTTTTTTTAATTTTCCCTTCATTTTACACTGCTAATTTTGTTTATGAAAATAATTCTAACTTAAGATCATTTTTGTAGAGTTACTGATTAAATGATCTATCAGTAAGCTGAATTGAACTGGAACATGTATTTCTCATAAACTTTATTACATAGGAACAACCATTCTTGATCAATCAATAAGCCTCTGAAATAGTTTTATGTTGTTGGCCAGATGAGTACTGCCTAAAGAAAATTAAAGTAACATCATAAACATGCAGTAACCTTTACCAGAGTAGTCTGTCATGCTCTTGAATATTCACACGTACTTCCAGAACTAGATTTGATATTTCTCTGCTATATTTTGAGCTGAGTTTGCTTTCCACAATTTTGTCTGGTTGCTTTTTTAACCCATGCTCTTATTGTGACTCCATGGAAAAGATCTTTGTACTATAAAAACTGAAAAATCTCTAGGAAGTCTGAAGAGACTAAGCCATTAGGGATCAAACTCTTAGAGAAGGAGTCTGGGTTTGCACTCACAGAGTTTCTGCATGTCTTATGAAGGTGTCAGCAAGGGTAAATACATGACAACTTACATGAATATGACCTTCCAGAGACACACTACTCAAATATCAATTTAATATTGTTTGTTTTCATGGCTAGGGTGAATTTCTGTAAATAAAATTATATATACTTTTTTTTTCAGTGGTGCATAGCAAATTATTCAAAGAACAAACCTTTCATCTGAGAAAACCTGGAACTTTAAAGTATATCCAAATTTCTTTAATGGAAAATATGACAATATATTCAGTGTTAAATCATATCCTCCCAGATACACTGGACATGAAATTTTAACATTGATTTCTATAAACTTCATCTAAATGATGATGTTCAGCAAAAAAATCTTTTTACAGTGATGACAGAACATCCACCTTTACAGCACCATTAAACTGAACTATTATGCAGTGTAAAGACATTTTCTCCTTTTTGAGTGTTCACAGCCAAGTGATTGTAAAGAAATCCAAGTCACTCACCAGTGAGCATGAACTGATAGGCGTTGTCAGAGATGGAGAAGATGTGTGG